TAAGCATTTAAAGTTATTAAGATATTAGAAACTTGATGTTCTTCAAGTAAGAAACTTTCAAATAGAGCCAAGCATTTTTTCCATTTGTTATTTGTGCATATTTTGTATTTACTGCAACTGTTGAAGCCTAGAAAAGGTTACTGAATAAGAATAACCAAAACAAAGCTTAGAAATGGAACGGTAATCTTTATAACATTAACAACATACAAGATTTGCCAGTGAGGTGTAGTAAGTAATTCACTGTTAATTAGTGGTGAATCTCCCAGACTGTATATTCCACTGTATTTATGAGGATTGGAATATACCCATTATAACACATAGGTATGGTATAACACCCCTCCCTTTTTAGATTTGCTCTATATAGAGTTAATATCTTTTCCTTTTTGGGTTGATTTCGATTCTCTCTGTATCTCTTCTTTTTTTCTTACTTTGTCTTTTTTGGACTTTTATCAAAGGAGAGTTCTGAGGAATAGGCACATTGAATGTGTCAAAAAGAACTTCCATGAGTTCAAACTCCACTGGAGTATTGTTCTCTTCATTTATATGCCTACTTTTTATTTGATTACAGTACCTTCTGTGCAACATTCACGGTCCTTTAAATATACCATCCTACCGATCCTTTGGACGATAGTTCCAAACTCCCAATATCTTTTACCTGTCTGATACATCTGGTAAAATACCTTTTGACCATCTTTGTAAAATTTATTTCCAGCTTTTTTTTTTTTTTTTACTGTACATTCAAGTTTTTTTCTTACTGGGTATCAGCTTGTCAAAAACTGATCTTATTTTCCATGCAATCATAATTTCTGCTGGAGTCATGGCCAAAGGCGCATGTTTATTTGGTGTAAGCCGATACACCTGTAGAAATTGTTACAATGCTGCAACTGTGGATCTACCAATGGATTTTTTTTAGAACCCTCTTAAAGGCATCCACAAAACCCTCTGCCTGGCCATTACTTTGAGGGTCGTAAGGTGCTCTACCACAAACATTTTACAAAATCCCTTGAATTCTTTTGATGTAAACTAGGTGCTGTTATCCAAAACAATAGAATCTGGTACCCAAACCTGGCAAACAGTTCATTTAGAAACGCAATTACTACTTGCATGGTTGGTTTCTTACACCTCAATATCTCTGGACACTTGGAAAAACTGTCTACAATGATCAAATAATATTGCCCATTAAGTAGACCAGCAATGTCTATGCTGATGTGACTATGGGCGGTCTATTTCTGGCCATGGATTGAACTTTATTGGTGGTGCTTTAGCTGCCAAAGCAGAGCCTTTGCATGACTTTACCAAACATTTGATGTCTCTATCCATGTTATGCCAGTATACATAACTTCTCGTTAAGATTTTCATTCTGGATATACCAGGGTGTTCTGTGTGGAATACTTTCAGGATTCATTTCTATAGTGATGAAGGTACTACCACTCTTTCATTGTACCTGAGAACATGATTGCAAATTGAATATACCTTGTTTTATTCCTATCCTTTAGTTTTTTCTTCATTACCACAATAAAATTGTCATCGAACACTTTTCTTTTTATTTTTTCCAAAGTCACAGGTAGTTTTCACACAGTATTGCACAGTACATTTTTTATCTCTACTTCCAATTGTAGAGAAGCAATGACCGTGTCTTCCAAAGGTTCACTATTTCTTGGAATATGTCTGAACAATCTGTCCGCATGACTCAATTTACTTGATGGCAAGAATTCCATTCTGAAATCTTAATTTAATAGACTGGTTCCCTATCATTGTAACCTATTAGCTGTATGGGTTGGTAGTCCTTTTTTGGACCCATAAATGGCTAACAATTGTCTGTGATCCATTTGTAAGGTAAACTTTCACCTGTGAATGAATCTATGAAATTTCTTAAGGGCAAACACAATTCCTAAACTCTCCTTTTCTGTCATGGAATACTTCTTTTCGGCTGGAAGAAGTGCTCTGAATGTGTGTGCAATAGGTTTAATTGAGCCATCTTCAAGTTTATGCATAATGCAGGCTCCTATTCCATAGGTACTAACATTGCTTGCTATGATTATTTCTTCTTTTGGATCATAATGTGTCAAAAACAAGTCCAGTGTTAGCATTTCTTTAATTTTTTCAAATGCCTCCTGGCACTCCATTGTTCAAATCCATTTAGAGACTTTTTATTAAAAAAAGACTTCATTTTATGGAGCTTGCAAGCAATGCATGTTTGGCACAAATACATTGTAATAACTTGCCAAACCCAGGAAACATTGTAAGGGAACTTACATTTTCAGGAGCAGGCATGTCTTTTATAGCACTGGCTCATGATGGGTCTGGTCTCCTGCCATTTTTTGTCAATTTCCCAAATATTTGATTTTTATCCATAAAAAACTCACTTTTCATCTTCAGCTTGAATCCATAGACCCGAATCCTCCTGAAAACCTCAAAAATATTTTCCTTGTGTTCTGGGTTTCCACTATTCAGCAAAATATTGTCTAGATAAGCAACTGTATCCATTACTTGCTGAAAAATAGCTGGAGCGATCTTTATTCTGAAAGCCAACCGATTGAATTTATACATTCCATGATGTAGGTTTATTGTAAGTAATTTTGAACATTTGTCATCCACTTCATTCTGCAGATCCTCATCACTTAGGTCGATTTTTGAAAATATCTGACCCCTGCTAAGTTACGCAAAAACCTCTTCCGTCCCCGGAAGTGGGTAATGATAACTTTTGAGGGCATTGTTTAAGCCCGTGGAGAAATAAACTCTTTAAACTTTTTCTTAATATATATTGTTGGTGAAGCACAATCGCTATATTCCACCTTACATAAAACACCCATTTTTTCAAGTCTGTCAAGCTCGTCATTGATCTCTTTTGATGATGCAAAGGATACATTCTTTTTCTTTTTGAAAACTGGTTGTACGTTTTCCTTTAGCTGGAATTTAGCTTTCATTTTCTTGCACCTCATAGCCTACCAGAAAATACATCTGGGAATTTAATTTTTAATTCTTTCTTCAAAATTTCTGCTTCGTTGGTTACTTGTATTTTTCATTACAATTACTTAATTTCAAGGTTTTATTGTTTGAGGTCATATTTGTTATAAATTCCTCTTCGAATTTTATTTTCTGTCTTGTAACACTGCAAGTGATTTTCTTGGTAACCATTAATATTCGTTTACCTATTTTTCTCCATGTATATACATTTTTATGCTTAAATTGGATCCACTAACCAATTGTAATTTGATATTTTTCTTAAGGATTTTTACCTGCACGAATTTTCTAATATTTTGACAAGCAGATTCATCCATATTAGTAACTTAAACATAATTCCTCACTCATCTTTTTACTTTTGTCCTACCATAGGTTTTCTTATGTACTTTCTTTCTGTATCAAAAACATTCTTTATGGACAGTCCTTATACCAATGTAATTCTCCACTTGCATAACAGGGTTTAGGAGTAATGTTTTTTTTCTTTCTTCACTTTATTTTTTTTATACACTTTTTTTTAATGTGCCACACACTGCTTATTTCAATATCTTTGGCATCTTGTGAGAAATTTATGAACCTCTGACCATCTTCTGCTAGGTTTTGTAAAGTCAGATTGTGTTTGTTTTCCAGTTTATTTAAAACCCTTCTGATTTCAGCATCTTTTGTTGACACAAAAAATATCAGGCATCACAATGCTCAGGAATGTTGTGAAATCGTCATCTTCCTTTTTTACTAAGTTCATACATTTCCATCTTTTATGGAACAACAATGTCTTTGGGCTGGAAACTTCTGAAAACACAGTAATTGTTTCTTTAAACATTAGGTCACTAATTTTCTTTGGAAATATGTAATTTACAGACTTTGTGTGCTCAACAGCGCCTAGTTTTCTTAGCACTAGTCTGACCTTTTTGTGGTTGGACCAATTTGCACAGTACATTTTGTAAAGGTCTTCATATCTACGGAAATACAACGAAAAAGTTATCTCCTCTTTTGGCATATAATGAAATTCAGCAATCACATTTACGATAGAATTCCTCTGAATATTCGTTCTTGTTACTTGTTAACATTTTCTGTTGTTTTTCTACCCACAATTCTATGAGTTTTTCAAGTCTTTGTTCATAATGTCTCTATTTTTCATCTTGTTGTCTCAATATTTCCAGTAAAACCGTTTTACAATCCTCCATTTTGTACTTTATGTGAACTAACTTACCACAAAAATATATTTTTTTTTACACAACTGTTTCTAAAAAACACTTTAAGTATTCCTACCAATTAACTTTCAACACAGCATCTTTACACCGAGAAACTCTTTCAACAATACATAATTTTTGTAAACTTCAATTTCATGTACGTTTCATTATGTTTTTATTCTTTGTAGTTGGAATAAAATCCCGTTTTTCTGAATGTATTTCGAACAACTTGGTAAAAATCCATGTAATTCTTAGAAAATACTTGTAGCCAAAAATGTTTTTTAGCTTTGGTAATTATTACGTGAGCTTTACAAATATCTTTGTAGAATATCGAATTCATGAATTAGTGAGTTCTGTTCTGCCAAGATCTTTGTTTGCCAAATGTTGTACTGTTGAACATTTACTTGAGTTCATCACAAAAATGTTGTAACCTAGAAAAGGTTACTGAATGAGAATAACGAAAACAAAGATTGGAAACAGAACGGTAATCTTTATTACATTAACAACATACAAGATTCGATAGTGGCATGTAGTAAATAATCTACTCCTAGTGTTGAACTAGTGGTGAATCCCCCCCAAGACAGTATATGCCACTGTATTTATGAGGATTAGGACATACCCATTATAGTCTATAAGTATGGTATAACAGCTACATTGGCAAAACTGTATATAAATAAAGGATGACATATCAAGTTAATAGATGTCTGTGATATTACGAGTAGCAGACAGAGGTAACAGTCCGAGTCGACATAGTAAGAGAAATCTTCAAATAAATCTTCCTGTGTCTAGTCTGCTTCCTTTCATATGAAAACTGCCTTCATAAGTAAAAAATGGATTGGGAAAAAAGGCTTATGGCCATATCATGTTGAAACACCAGTTCTCATATGATCACCAAAGTTAAGCAATGTTGAGCATGTTAAGAACCTATATAGGTAACCGCTTGGGAATACCAGGCGCTGTAAGCTTGGATGTGTTGGTGGTGTAATGGATAATGGCTCAGAATTGAAAAAATCTTCCCCCAGCTATGGGTTAATTAGAACTTGTATCAGTAAATCAATATCTTGAAAAATTTCTTACAATCTAAAAATATATTCTGGCTTTAAAATGTTTGCAAAAGGTTGAAAAGCCATAAAAATGAAACCAATCAATCAGTGACCGGGGAGGAGGGAAAAACATTTTTTTTCTTTTTTGTTAATCAATATTTCAGGAATATATAAAATTTTAGATTTGCACTTGATCTGCTTTCTTTTCCTTTTCTTTTTGGATCAGTTGAATATTTTTACCAGGCCAATGTTCTCTTCCACAACCACCTCAGCCAACTCACAAAGCAGCTGTTACTATATTTGAAGGAAGATCCAAACAGTTGTCTTGAACACTCTTGATCATCTGTCCACTATTCTGCTGTAATATAAGTTTTGATCTCAGGATCTTTGTCAGGCAGTATAATTTCAGATGAAATTATTTCTTGTACTAAACTTAATAAAAGCAGCTGTACTCAGTTGGTTGTGAGAAGCCATTTAAGAAATTTGAGATGATCATTTCTTTTTTGCTTAGCTGATTTGATAAAATGTTACAAAAATTTAACAGTTCCTCAACAAAATCCCTAAATTTATAGTTTGATTATCTCAATGCTTTAGAAAAGTTATTGATGGTTACCCATGTCAGATTTAAAGCCTGCTCACTCCACTTTTGAAATGCAAGCCTTACAAATGAATTCCTGCAGAAAAGTGGGCAATTCAAATCAATGAATATCCTTTAAGGAAGATGGATATTTTTTTCATTTTTCAAAAAAATGAATTTACATCTAGTGTAACTTTCAAGAAAACATCTCAAGGTGTTCATTGCTCGACATTTTCACTGCGTTATTATAGCCTTACTGTCTGGCTGTGCTTGGGGGAAAAATAAGAAATTGTTATTAACTGGAAATGAATGATTATAAAACCACTGCTTGCAATTTCTCATAGGTTTTGACATTTTGGTTTCAATCAAATACTCTGCAGTACAGACTAAACTAAACAACACCACCAACATACAATATAATAAAAATACTTTACAAAACAAGTCATATTGTCTGCTACTATATATGTACATTGGTTTGAAAGTAGCACTAAGTGTTAGTTTATAACCCAAATTTCATGGTATTTTGAAAATGTGCATATATATATATATGTCAACAGTAAGAAATGTAAGTTTCATAAAGGCATATAAATATATCTACAGTATTGGTTGTGTTAGTTAAAGCCAGATGATTATGTTGCACCAATCTTCCAAGTAGGGAGTGGTTTTTTAAAAATGATTGTTCAAAATCTTGGCTTTTTAGGCAGATGAAAATGTTCTCTATGTTTGATATGATTCAAAGAGAATTATTGAATAAAAATTGCTGGAACCTGGACATACTGTTACTAAAGTGAGGAACTGACTTGTTTGAATGATGCAATGGAAGTGAAAAAAAAAGAAATTTTCTGTGCCAGAAAATTGATTGTTAATTTTATAGCATAATGACATTGTTTTTCATGTTGCAAATAAGGTACAGAAAGCAATGCTTCCACATAAGGTAAATTTTCTTGTTTTGTTCTACATAACACTGTTTGTCTTCTAAGTTGTTCTAAACAAGTAAAAGATATTTAGAAATTTCTTGAAGAATGAATATTGGAATTGTTCTTTTCAGTGGAAAGATACAGTTTGGTTAATGAATGGCATCAAGTCAGAGAAAAACTTGGAAAATACTTTACTGACTGAATAATGTCATGAATTTAAGTAAATAAAATGATGCTGGATCAATCCTTTACATACTGAATGCTAATTTCTTTGTACACTATTTGGACTATTGTCCTCATCTTTGTCGCCATATTTATTACAATGTTTTGGCCATTGTACACTCCAGCCTTCTTCAGGTGGTTGAAATGTCAAACTGAACCCTTTATTTTGCTTGCTGGGGTAAACTGTTCTAGTTCCACATGCCATGTTTTAATGGATGTCAGTTGCCAGTCATCCTGTTAATTCCCCTCTCCAAGTTCTTGAGGACACATGGCACAATGGATAAAGGCATTAGTTAGATTGAGTGACAGGACCCAAAGAGTGTTAGTTCAATACCTGGTTAAGCCAGTGGAGAACTTGGAGGGGGGAATTAACAGGATATCTGACAACTGATATCGATTAAAACATGGTACGTGGAACTAGAACAGTCTACCCCAGTGAGTGAAATAAAGGGTTCAGTTTGATATTCCAACCACCTGAAGAAGGCCGGAGCGTACAATGGCTGAAATGTTGTAATAAATATGGCGACAAAGATGAGGACAATAGTTTGAATAATGTAAATAGTGTGCATAATACCTCATCTCAGAAATATAGAGAGATAATTTCTTTGTCAAAGATAATTTTACACAGACCATCTAAGTTGGTCACTGTACAGCATTTTTCAATTCTGCTTTTAAGGAGGTCATATTTACTTGATTTTTTTAATTAGAGCTTCCAAGATGGATTGACAAAGAGAAAAATTTCCTTGCAAAAGATTTATAATTTCTTTCTGCATTTCTCAGATAAAGGATTATTGTTATTTACATTCAGGCTAATGTTCTCATGTGACACCATACGGCATTGGCAAATGAAAAGGAAGGGGTTAAATCCCAAAACATAACTCAGAACAAGATGAGAAGGGTTAATGATTAGAACGATGGACATACCAGGAGAAAGAATGAAGATTTCTCTTCTCTTTCAAAAGAGAAGGTAATTTTCTGAAACCAGAGGTTATGAAAGAAAAGTGATATTGTCACAAAGAAGCCATGTGGTGATCTTTAAGGATGACAGTTGATTAATGAGGCTGTCCACAGGCCCAGGTTACAAAGACACAAAATAAAGTCTCTTTGTGTAACCTAAGGTATTTGGAGTGCAACAACCCTGGCAGGACTTGAGAGGTTAACTGCTCGAAAAGAAAACATCTGGTAAATAACTGATTTTAGACAAGGCCAGAATGAGAAAAGTGGCACTAAGACACAAGTGGGTGTTGAGAGTGAAAGAAAATGTGAAGAGAATGGACAATAAAAGAACAGGATTCAGGAAGACAAGACATGGGAATTGATGTTGCATTTAAGTTTTTAAAGATCATAGGTGGATTATTTTTAGAAGCCTATAATTAATACTGGATTTTCAAAAATAAACTATAATTAGTACCAAATGTTTTTACTAACTTATAATCAATACTGGATTTTAATTTTCATAATACCAGATTTTATGGTGGACATCGATGATTTAATTTTGATATGAGATTTAATGATTTTTACATAGAAAGAATTGTTTAAACCAATCCCCAAATACCTATTACTTCTATCTATCTATCTATCTATCTATCTATCTATCTATCAAATTCTGTGATTTCTGTTAGTCTGCAAGTCCATCTGTCACACTCTCTAAAATAGCCATACATTGACCTATTGAAACTAAATTTTGGTAATCTGGCAGCAAAGCCTCTGATCAGCAGGTTTTGAGGAGCATGAAACTATTCTTAACTGATGTTGTTCCCAGGTCCACCCTGACTCAAAGTGATAGCACCTGTTAGAGTTCCAGCTATAGGTAAATAGTTAACCCATCCCCTAAATGGCGTCAACACACTATGAAAGTGTAAAAATACGTTTTTATATTAAAAATACCAGTAATACATTTTTGAAAAAAAAAAATATTAGTAGTAATACATATTTTAAAAAAAAATTATTACCAGTAATACATTTTGGAAAAAAAAATTATTGCCAGTAATACATTTTTGAAAAAAAACATTATTATCAGTAATACATTTTTGAAAAAAAAATTATTGCTAGTAATACATTTTTGAAAAAAAAATTATTACCAGTAATACATTTTTGAAAAAAAAAATTATTACCAGTAATACATTTTTGAAAAAAAATAAAAATTATTACCAGTAATACATTTTTGAAAAAAATAAAAATTATTATGGGTAATACATTTTTCTGATGCCTTATCTAGGTTGTATCTGCCCAGCCTTCCCTTTCTGGATAGAGTTCAGAAGTGTGAGGAATTATTTTTGTCTTTCCCACAGATAAAACATTACAAGCCTCTCGATACTTTATTGCTATTTTCATGACAAGCTACATTCATTAATTCCACCAATTCTAATGCTCACAGCTAAGACCCACCATGCCACCCATATTGGAGCAAAACATCCTTATTCCATTTGTATTCCATTAGTAAGGAGGTAGTCCCACTCAAACAACTTTTTCTCACGAATCACTATTTTGTGGCATCGATTCCTAAGAGGATGCTTTTCTGACCACTACAATCTTAACCTGTTCAAGTCTGGGGTTAACTGTTATCTTTCATACATATCCTTATAAACCAAAACTCTTACTACTCATACAACAAACTCCTTGAATAGCACTCTACCTTGAGTGGCTATCTGGGCCTTGTATCAAGTGAACATTAGTACAAAAAATATATATGAAGAGCAATGAAATAATCCTTCATATAATGAAAAGATGACAACAACGCTTACTCAACATTTAATCTTTCCCGATGTCAGCAAATTTTCAAGGTGTCTCCAAGGCTTCTTCAGAAACTATTGTCAGAATCTCAAATATTGTCAGTGTACTCTAGAATTGTTGAAGTTTATGAATTAAGATCATTAGATCACCAGTCACAAGCCTTAGGGCCACAAACACACTTCCATTAATGATCAGTGGAATACCGGCAATAATCATTTGATTGTAATTATTGAAGCTACTGACTTGCAAATTTGGCTTGTGGGCACAAGAGAAGGAATTATCACCAAAGACCAGTGACATTCTTTGCTTAGACACATCTTCAAAATATGAAAATATGTTAAGGTGTATAGAGAGGTAGATAACACATTATGAAATGGGCAAAGTCCGACAATTATTTTAAGACATTTTTATGTTTAACATTCTTTTATAGATACAAATATTTAAGTAAATGCTCTGTTTATAATAAATTAT